ACAGACACACACAGACACACAGTATATTTAATACACAGCCATGACGCTAAAACCGGTGCATCAGTCAGGCAGGCAGACAGACAGACAGACAGACACACACACACACTGGGGAGAGAGAAATTTACAGGCAGCTGCAATGTAGAGTCGCTATGGCAACTGCTTCACTTCCACTTGTTTCTGCCTCTTCTGCTCTCTTCCTCTCTCACTCTCCCTACATGAGCCACTCTCACGTGGACAAAGTCTCATTGACTGTTGCCGCGGCAACATATTGCTCTTGTGCATCTCTCACCCTGTGATGCCCTTCGCCACGTCTCTACCTGAATCTCATTTCATTAGTGGCAAATGACCGCTTGCCACACTTCCTATGCACGCATCTCTGTATTCCACATCAGGAGATGAAGACTGACAGCCACTGGCATCATGGGAGACAGAATGCAGATGCACTGATGTACCCTCCCACACCCACATAAGAGACAAGCACACAAGCCAAGCAGGCTGTCACAGTTGACCTGTAGACTCTGTGTCCATGGATCAGTTACAGGGCGAATCGTTCTGGCACAGTGACAGACAGGACTGAGGCCCTTGGGGGCTACAAGCTTCCTCTCGCTCTCTCTTCCTGTCTCAGGCGCTCTGTCTCTCTCTGCCTCTGGCTTTGTTGTGTTTCTACCACAGCAAAAGTTTAGCATGCAATGCCCACAGATGGACGGGTGGTTAGGTTTCCAGCCTCAGGAGTCACATGTGATCCCCATGTGAGATAAACTCCTTTTTAAAGCTTACAAAAACACCAAGCCACCTAGGTTTCCATCACTCATCTCTTAAAATCATGCAAATGTTATGCAACAAGGTGCTTCAAAAAACTAATCAGATTATCAGCTCAGCTGGGAGAACCTGTGGTTTAAGTATAATTTGTTTTCATGTTGACAACATGTCTGCAGACAAAGAGAACAGGTGCTGCATGACAACCTAATGTCCTGTATACCACGTGCTGTACCACAGAGGCAGTTTGGGAAATGTCCAGAATATACATACAAAGCCACAACAAATCCTGTACATCCTATGCTAGATTATCGGCAGATGGTAAACACTTCCACACAGGCTTGAGCAAACGGTGTACAGGGAGAGGCGTATTCATAGTGACATGGCAGGGCAGACTCTGATCTGTGCTGTACCACTGTTAATATGTCTAAATAGCAACAAGTCAACATCACCATAAGACATTAGTGAGATGTTTACGCTCACCTTTCTATATATACAGCTTATGGTTGTTTAGGAATCTTACTTTTTAACTTTAATGTTGGATTAAAATTGTCAGTGGTGGAAAGTAACTATCATTTAGACACTTTACCTAAGCACAATTCAAAGTATCCATTCCATTTAATGCCACTTCTACTCCCTACTACTACTAGTTTTTTATTGTTAATGTCCACAATTATCACAGGGGATTTAAATAGCGACTCAAAATTCTCCCCAAATGTCCAAAATCGGCAAAAGTAACTGTGAATCAATGTTATATATTTCGGTTTGTTTTATATGATAAATTGAGGAAAGCTACAATTTCATCATCACTCAGATCAGATCAGATGTATTTTTTTTTTTTTTTCTTTTCTTGCTCCTTTTTATCTCTCCTGTGGAGTGGAAGCAGTGGATGTTTAAGTCACAGAATTCATATACATTATGGCCAAGTCTGTTTCTATTGCAATTTGCTGCTCAGCCAAGCATACAAACTTTTTCTGTAATATATATTCTTTTCAATTTTCTGCATTTCTGCATCTTTTTTATACAGAAATGTTAAATAACCATAAAAACAAGTAGATGAAAAAGCACTTAGTGTTTATAATTGTATCCAACTGATTTCAGCCCCACTGATCACTGGTGGCTCTGCCACTGCCGTAGAGGAGAAACTCATTAACAAAAAAAAAAACCCAAAAAAAAAACAACTGAAAAGGTGAACAAAATCAAATAACCGAACAATGCCACTGAAAACATTGGCTCTGCTCCGCAAACACAAACAACAACAAAGACAAAGCAAGATGGCAGAGAGCAGCTGAGGGCTGGGACCCCGAGGAGCTTAGCATAGCTGCTGATCCTTTCAAGCAGAACGGAGACAATGAGACAATTAGTCCTAAACTTGTTGTCGAGTGTTCCAGTTTAGCACACCGCCCACCGGTTGCCCTCAGAGACGCCACCCTCTGGTCTCCTGATGAGATGCGGGGGCCTTCCTCTCAACTGCATTATCAGCTGACTGATTAGTTACGGGGATGGAGTGTGGTCCGCCGTGCCGTGTACGTCACTGTCGGGTGTTGACTTTATGAGGAATTGATGCCAGCAATCACTGAGGGATCCAGCAGAGAGGGAGAGGCAAGAGTGATATGCACTTAAGTGGTAAGGATAACAGATGAAAAGCCTTACATTAATATTTTTCTGATGTTTTTTTAGTAACAGCTGAGGGTAAAGCAAGGATTAACCTCAACCACATCCTGCATAACCTGGTTTTCCTGGGAGCTACAACAGCAGAGAGACACCAGAGGGCTCGATGTGGAGAATATATTACTCCTTAACACAACAGTGAGCGCAGGAGCCTGCTGAGATATCATCTCCCCATACGTTAAACTGAGCATGGAGAGATGGAAGCGGAGGGCCCTCTGCTTACAGAGAGCCATAATTAAAAAGATACTGAATCGTGTTGAGGTGATACGACAGCTCAAGGAGGAATAAGGCAGCATGTAGAGTTTTATACCTGCTCCAAATTAGCATTTTCAATTCTCCCATACATACAGGCACAACTTTTTCCACCATGTCTATTTTCATTTTCATTAGTATGGAGAGGCCGGCGAGTGTGTGTGCACAAGCACATGTGGGTGTGAGGTGGAAATAAATATTGACCTTTTACGCT